GCCCTCCGGAGACAGGGGAGAGGGAGCAGGGCACGGCAGGGCCGTCCGCCCCCTCAGCGCCCCGGTCCGCCCTCCGGAGACAGGGGAGAGGGAGCAGGGCACGGCGGAGGGGCGGGAGCAGTCTGTCCCTGCCGAACCCCCCGATCCCAAAGCTGCCGTCCGCCAGTGGTCCGTAGAATCACAGAATTCTTAAGGTCGGAAAAGACGTCTGAGGTCACGGGAGTCCAGCCATTAGCCCAACACCGTCCGGTCCACGATTAAACTAGGTCCCCAAGTGCCACACTTGCACATTCTGTGAACATTTCCAGGGACGGTGATTCTACCACTTCGGAGCCTCACCAAGACTGAATTCAGCAGCTACTAGTTTATCTGCCCTCAGGTCCAACTTAGAGCATCATCCGATTAAAGACCAGGCTTTTTCATGATAAAAGTGATAAAACGCACAAATGCTCTTTCTGATTATCGGCCATGTCCCCGCGACTGTGCAGCCGCCCCCTCCTACCACGGACGGACAGGAGCAGCCTGCACACACAGCACCCGGTGTCCCCACGCCACAGGGTCCCGCTGCAGCTCAGCACCGACACAGCTCCTGCTGCTGCCCCAGCCGTGGGCAGCCAGCTCTGAGTCCCTGTTGGCAGAGGGGGCCTGCCTGAGCAGGGAGGCCAGGGCCACATCCCACTCCGACACCACCCTCCAGGGCTCTCTGGCAGCACAGGATTTCAGTCATTTGTTGGCCAGATCATTCCATATGTTAGTGCCAACAAAAAAATTTCCTGTCTGACTTCAAGGAAGCCACTGGATCTTGCCATGCCTCATTTTTCCCATTTATAAACCAGAGCTAAATATTTCTTTTAACTGTAAAATAGTACTGTAAAAATCCAGTGTTGTTTCCATTGTGCTCATCTCTAAATATCCCTCCTTTTGTAACATATTATCTGATTTCTGTCCCCTAATTAACTCAACTGCTATTCCATCATCCTTCAAATATTGCTTAGAGAAGAAAACAAAGCCTCTGTGATGAAACAAGTAAGCTTTTCTCAAACCTTTCTCTCTAGGTTTGTTCACTGTGATCTAAGCGACACTGGGGAGCACTGGTATCATCACCACTTGCTGAGGTGCAGCACCCAAACAGGGACAGATACAACCGTCCCCACAGTCAGGGACAGACACTGCTCTGGCAGCCACTGGCCTGCCACACTTGGTGTTCACGCGCAGGCAGCTTCACAAGAAGGAAAAGGATTAGCAGCACTTCTGGTCAAAGCAAAGAAGATAGCATGAGTTCAGAATGACTTTCCCGTGACCACACAGGAAATCTGCAGTGAGATGGAGGGTATGACCGGGGACTTGTGACTTGGCTCACGCTGGGCACGGCAAGGGGCCACCCCTTCAGCAGTGGTGGAAAGGCACATGCACATGCTTCTGAGATACGGATACAGAGTGAGCTTAATGCCTTTCCTTGGCATAACCCATCTGCAATGTTGCTGCAACTGGCCTAAGAGGTGAATTAAAAGTGAATGTTCACTCAGCACTTGCATTGGATTTCTTTGCTTCAGACTTCATTTCTTGTAAGCAGAGCATTACTTAAATCTAAGAGCATTACTTAAATCTATTAAACTGAATTTTAAAAAGAAAACGAATTCTTATACCTATTTAAAAAAAAAACCCAAAAAAACAACAACCCAAACACAAAACAGTTCTTCTGCCTTTTGTGAGAGTCATCTGCAACACACAGCCATGGAGAGTCTGTCCCCTGTGTGTGCTGAGTGCTGGTAGAAGCCAGCAGCAGTTCCAGGCAGGTGCTGATTTTCACTGGCTTCCCAAAGGTAAGTGCATTAGCACAGATCCCTGCCTAAGACAACAGAGAAGTCAGGGCAAACACAGGAGACACACAACATCTTCAACAAGAAGGCCAAAGGTGGCAGCAGAGCTGTGGGACTGCTGGGTTGGCAGGGTGGGGGTAATGGCAGCACGTTCCTGATGAGCACCACAGATGCCACGTGCCCTGGACACAAAGATTCTTCCATCCCCATAAAAATGTAAAAACTTATTTTGAAGGGCAGGGGGGAGGGGAGCAGAGAGATGTAGAAACAAATGAGTTCAAACAAAGTTTTATGAGGAGAGCTGGAGTGCACTCAGCCTGTAAAACAGCCCATGGTAGTGTCAGGCCACCACCGGGCAAAGGTAGTTCATGATGGTATATAATCAGGTTTTATGAGAGGGATACCACTGTCAACAGGTGATTGAATAGCTTTTTGCATGATGGGCCTTGCCAGGGATCAGCAGGGGGAAGGACAGAGACGGCCATTTACCTTGACATGCTTCTTCCACACAAGCCAAACTAATTGCACACGTCAAAAGGAAAAGGCAATGCATGGCTTTCATCCGCTCCTGATAACGATCAGATAGGGCTCTTCCTGTCTTCTCCAGCAGCCCTTCCTCCAGTATAGCATGCAGAGGAGGAACAAAATACAGCTTTGAAGGTCAGGTAATGGCCTAATTAAAGCAGAATTCCAACTCCAACGCTGTGGCCCTGCCCTTTTAAAGCACAGCACTGGGTCAGGCTGTCAGTTGTGGTTTAGTGCACTGGTGCTGTTCGCACACCCCTAGTAATATGCTCTTTGGCTTAACGTGGGTCATTTGACAAGGGGGGGTTCTAAGTAATTGCAGCAAGTGCAAAAAGACACGTGTTAATTTTAAATCAGTTATTGCCCTCTGAAGGGTGCCTACCCCCAGCCCTGCTGGAGATGGGGAGAGCTTTCAGAGGCCATGAGAGCACGTCTCCCCTTCAAAAACAGAAGCACAGAGTGGGTAGTCGGGGATGGGGAAGACGCTACAGAGGCCTTCGCAATAATTTTAAGGCAAAGTTTAAATCTGTTACTTGCCCAGAGTTCCAAAAAAGTGTGCAGTGTGTCCTGCAAGTATGGAAAGCCCTAGGAGGACTGCTCTCTAAAACAGATGTGATGTTCTAACCCTCAGCTTGCACAGGCATGTATTTATGGCACACTGGTATTTCTATGGAGTGTACCTTTTGACAGTGTTACTGCATGGCAAGTGCACAGGTGCTCTTGGGCTTGTTTTTAGTTAGACATAGGCCTGAATGTATAGTGAAAAGTGAAAAGGTGTTTTTGGCGTGATCTCAATCCAATATCCTCATGCTTTCATTTTGTATGACCAGTGCTTGCTAGTGCAAGGAAAGATGCTTGCTTTCTTTTTCAAAATGAAGCAACATAATCTGTTTTTACCCTGTTAAATATTAATGGAGTTTGGGCTAGAGGAATGTTGATCTGGGAACAATAGTGCACAAGTTCTATAAAATGTGGTGCTTTCTTGTGTCTCTCCAGTTCCTTCTACCAGCTGCCTACTTCATCACAAGGCTAGCTCAAGACAGGGCTCTGAAAGACCACTGTTCCTAACTACAGATGTCCAAAAGGATCAGATCACCTTCTCTGATCTTTTTCTCCTTGTTTTTTAGAGTGGTTAATATAGCAGGCAAATAAAGAAGGTAATTGTGGCATTTCTTTTCTCCAATCACAAAACTTCAGAAGCAAGAATCAGACCTGGGGGGAGAAAAGCAGGCGCAATTGCTGCTCTGTAATCCACTAAAGCTGCCAGCACAGACAGCTGTTCCTGTTCTGACTCTTTTCCAAATCAATCAAAGAAGTTAGTTCCAACTTTCAGAACGTAGCTGTATTTTGCTTTTTTTTCCCCCACTTCAGGGCCTAGGATTCACTGTGGAGTCCCAAATAACAACATCTTGTTCCCTGATACAGCCAACAACAGCAAGTTTGAGGGATTCGTAACTCATGACCAGTGCTGCAAATACAGCGTTCCTGACACCCACACCTGTTCTTTGACCCTTCACGGTGCCTGAAACATGACAGGCAAGTACAAAAATTAAATTCCGTATTAAGACATAAATTATTACTTTATTATATTAAAATGCTAGAGGTTAGTACACATTAATTGAGAACATTAGTCATGCCAAGGTAAAAAGTTTTATGAGAGGATTAACAAAAATACATAGGAGCAGCCTGCACAGGGCTCAGGAGGTCTGAATTCCTGGCTCCTCAACAACGTTCTTGCCTAGCTGTAGGCAATTCACATATACCAACACCACTGCTATATTTGCAGACACCACACTCTTGGCGTAGAAGGGCAGGGAAAAGCCCAATCTTGCTGCTATGCCAGCAGAGATCAGTATCAAAATAGCTCAGCAGGCAGACCCACCAGGTCTAGGCCTTGTTCCTCCAAACTGTTGCAGGTTGCTGTACCTGACAGCTGGCAGCAGTGTTCTCAGTGCTGGCAGAGAGGGGAATCCAGCGAGCTGTTCCCTCCTGGGCACAGGGCAGCCCTGCTGGGGCACCAGCCGGCCATGCTGTAGCTGCACGAGGGGTGAGGCTGCACACAGGCAGCAGCAGCAGGCAGAGGATGCAGCTTCTCAAGACAGACAAACCCCACTGGAGTTTCAGTGCCTTACTTCTGACACAGGACAACAGTACCAGATTTTCTACCCAAAATATTGTAAAGGATAAGGGGACTTTATTCAATACTGTCCAGAAATAAGCAGATATTCTGGCAGCCACACAGCAATACCTCTGACCAACACAGGCTTCCTTTGGATCTGCAGCACTATTGCTTTATGTGCCAATCAAAACATTTCTGTGCAATAACACTAACACAGCTCTTTATCTAATTGATCTACAAAGAACAAGCATCTGTACTTCCCAAAATAGGTAAAGAAAGTGCTTACCTGATGGAAAGACTTTGCTGGACAGACGATGATGACAACAGGTGCCCAGAGATGAGTGGAAAGATGAGATGTGCCAGATGCAGCAATTCACCTCTGGCACCTGTGTTTGTCTACTTGCTTTGCACGTGCAGGGTGCAACATCTGTCTCTGATGAGTAACTGTGGGGAAGTTACTTAAACTTCTCAGTTATGCTTTGTGTCATCTAAAAGACTGGAAAATCGTAATTCCTAAAAGCTGACACTAATATCCCACAACTAACCTTTCTCCTGCCTTTCAACAGACAACTCTGCTGCCAGCAGTCAGTTTTTACCATCTCCTGGATATTCTTCACTGGAATTTGAGACATCAACAAATGCTAACAAATCTCATTATTTGATGCATTTATTGAGAGTTGATACATCAGCAGATGAAGCCTAGAAACCAATCTGCAGGACCCTAAGAAACATTCTAATCTGAAGTGACATTCAGGGAGCGGAATCCTATCAAATTTTGAAGTGATGTGGGTATGGATTTGTACCAGCTTTAGGCAGGGTGAAAATCTGACTTTGTTTTTAATTTACTTTGCTTAAACTTTGTTTCTTAAAAATCCTTTAAGATTCTGTTGATGGCCTTTTTTTTGTGGTGGCAACATCACATGAAAACCAGCTATTTATTCCTTGAGGGTTCCCCCTACCCCCACCTGATTTGGGAAGAGCAGCAGTATGGGGTTTTTTTGATTTATATGGAAAGAGGAAACCACCCTGGGCAAAAAAGTCTACAGTCAGCAGAAGCAGCACTTTGTCTTCAAAGACTTAAGACACAAGGCTCCCAAATGATTAATGTTTCTAACCCACATTTTTCTTGCAGATGTGATTACAGAAGAGAGTATGAAGGGGAAATGATTTTTAAATAAATTGTTAGAAATGTGTATATGTACTTTCATAGCAAGGCATGAAACAACAGAAACCAATTTTCTTTGTGGTTTTAAAATACTAAAGTCAACAATTACAAACTCAGACACCAAAGTGTTACAATGTTAATACCTTGTCATGAAACTAGATATTCTGCTTTCTTAGAAAGTTACAATACTTGCCAAGCTGGAAAAAACCAACCCATCAACAATTTATTACACAACCACATATTAACATAAATAGCTAAAGTCAGATTCCACACTTGAAAAATTGACAAATACTGTCAAATATAACAACATTTACTTTGCATTGCTTTTAGCTATGGAGTATCACAGACTTCAAGAAATTTTAGAACATCCAGAATGGCTGTGGTAGCCAGGTCCCCATTTCCTAGTCTCCTGCAGTACCTTTGGAAGTAGATGGGAAGACTTCCAGTCGTCAATCATTATTTGAATTTAGATAAACAAAATGAGATTGGCATGGGAGAGAGTCTATTTTGGATTTTAAACACATCTTTTTCATGCATATGATAAAGGACAAGAAAGAGCTTAAATTACCACACACAAGCCAGATATGAAATGATGAAATTAATTTGAACAATCATCTGTGAACATCTATGATAAACCATGATGACATCAGGGTTTCTCCCTCCTCTCTCAATCGCAAGGTACATGATTGCCTTGGAAAACAGTTGTTAAAGGAGCAACAAGCTTTAACATCAGCATCTTTCATGGCAGAAAGCTCTTTTAAACTTGTTTCCTATGTGCTTGAACTGAGTACAGCCCCAACTGTACTCAGATACTGACAGACACAAAGCAGCTGGGTTTTGAAAGCACATTCACTCATCTGCCTGTGCCTCTGACTACTCATAAGGTTTTCAACCTTGTCTTCAAAAGCTGCCTTCAGCCTTGTAATTCACTCTTCATTTTTCTTATACATTCCTGGTTGGGTGAGTTCAGGAGGAAGGAATGTAGAACCAAAGATAGACATAAGCTTACTGCAAAGCTTTGCTCAATAAAACCTGTTGATTGCAGCCTAATTCTCATCTTGTCGGGCACTTTTCCTGCACAAAGTTTAAAAAAACTATCCCCCCAAGTTAAATATCCTTGCCAGATACATGGGGTAAATGTACAAAGTGTCATATGCACTGTCAGCAGCACACACGAGCTAATGCAGCACAACACATGAGTGCTGCCCCCACACACAGGACAGGGACCTCCACTGCCACCAGGATCTCAAAAGGTGACCCTGAGTAAACACCAAATTTGATAAACTCCGTACTGGAGCGTGATCTCATGTCCCACAACAATACCTGCAAGATAAGACTTGTCCTTTCGAAGGCTTGTGAAGGAACAAAAACTAGCCATTATCTCATAGAGCCAGCTGAGAAAAGAGAGAGACTGAGCACAGATGTCATACACTCATACATATTTTTCCACACACTAGGGGGATAAAAAAATAAAAGTACACTGACAAAGAATGTTTGCTGGTGTGGGGAGGGCACTGACATGTTCCTGTTTTGCTCTGTTTTAAAGGGAAAACTCCCTGTTTGTCTTACCAAAAAAACCTCAAAAATCTTGTTGAAAAGTTTTGTGGAAAACATCTACAGCCATTTTTACTGAAAGTAAAACTCAGGTTTCCAGCCATCTCTCTGAAGTAGCCTTTAGTATTAACAGATGTCTTGTTGGAATCTGCCTGAGCCAGTGAACTCATTCTGAATGGACACCAAAAAAAGTGCAGAATTTTTACTCCATATAATCTGAACGTTAAGTTGCTTTCTCCCAGACTTTATGGATTTGACTTCTATCATGCAGTTATTATTTTATCTTCAAGAAGCAAAATCCTCAAATGCAGAGCACAAAAGCCTCCCAGTCAATGTAATTTGCTTTTCCAGATCTATAGCTTAGCTGTAAGTAGTACTGAAGTGCGGGAAGTAGGTATTTGGTCTGGGTTATAAATAGGAGACATTTCATTTGGTGGTGTACAGGCCTTGCTTATAATAGCAGCAGCCTTGATGGCTGCAGCTTTGAGTTCATTAATTCAGTCAGAAGAAGGCACTGAAGATCCAAAGCAGATAATTAGGACAGAGATAGCCATCCCAGCTGTTAATTTAAGCAATTACTGCAATATATAGTGGTTTATATTTCTGCCTGTACTTTCCTTTGGTCTTTACAGACTGTTCACAGATATAAATACACCCCTCCTTCCATATCGACTGTTTTACATGAAGTTTGCCCATATTTACACCCATTGTTACACACTGTGAGGCAGTCTTGACAAAGCCAGACTGTAACTGCACAAGTCTCTAGCATTCCTTCTCCTCTTGCCAATTCTCCAAGTCATACAACATTTTTAAAGTTCATAAATTCTAAATAAAGGAGATTAAGGATTCCAAATTCTATTCTGTGCTAAAAACAGCAATCAATAATTGTCAAGACTATAATAGTGCCTTTAGGCTCTCTAGGCCATTATTCTCTACACTAGCTTTTCTCTTTTTTTGGTAAAGAGACAGTTTATAATATTTTCCAGTAACTGCTGCATCAGAGTTTTGGTACAGTTAGTGCATTCAAATGATCATACCAAATTAGGTATGCTTCTCTTTTGAAACAGAACAAGGTTTTTTGTTATTAATACTGAAACTCTTTGAAGTAACACATGCATGTATACAGCACAGTACTGAATAATTTCTTAAAACATCAGAGAAATGCAATACCTGTATACTTGAATTATAACCACAATTCCCATGAATTTTAACCTCTTTTTTTTCCAGATTTTAATTTTTTTCAATAGGAAAATTATCCTCTGTGCAGTCATTTTGACAGTCATATTTATTACAAAAGTTTAATGTCTGTTTGTAGCAAATGTGAGAATGGATTCAGGATCGACCTTGTAAGTGTGCAGAAAATGGGCAGGGAATGTTTATCACAGTATTTTCCACTTTTATGAGGATGCAGTTGGTTATTATGACAAGGTGAAAGGTCTCAATGCCTTCATTTTTAGGCCACAGGTGTTCTTTGTAGAGGTTTTTTTTTTAATAAAGAGTATTATTAGTCCTTTAAATTAGCTCTTATTGAAAGTTACCACATCTGTGTTATGTGGTAATGAAGCTGGGGGAGGAGGTCATAGCAGGGGACTTGTGCTTGAAGAAAACATCTGGGTATTGCTTTGACATTCACTAGCAACTTCTTTTATTTTATTAAAAAAGTAAGGAAATTATACTGAAATCAACTGCAAGATGCAAACAATAAATGAAATGAAAATACAGGATCTAAAAAAATAAAAGGTTGGAACAAAAAACACCTTTCCCTTCTCTTGCTCCCCTCCCATGAATACCAACTGCTGAGATTAATTACATGGGCAAATGGCAACATCAGTTAAAAAATAGCTCAACCAATACCTACCACATACACTACAGTCTTTCTATCTTTCAGAGGAGGAGCTACTGTTTTAAATAAAGCTTTTTGTTGTATTGAACCCTTTTTTGGCTGTCATTCTATTTACTACATCATTTCAGAGACAGGTACAGTGACCTTAGGAAGTCCTCTAGATAGGCATTTTTTTCCTCCACTTCCCCCAGCTGATAAAAGCAGAGACTTTGTTTCCTGTGCACAATTACACCTATCACAGGAACAAGGAAAACAAAATTTTATTTTCAACAAAAGGAGGATTTAAAAGCCATCAAAATCCTCAAGTGGAAGTTGCTGAGTAATTGCATGATGGTTCTTAATTGTCAAGGCTGATAACTATGTTTAGGAACTACTGCATTAAGAAACTTGGCAGAGTCAGATGATGTTCAGCTCCATGGCACACACAGCCAAGGATGTTTATAGGGCAGTGGTTATAGTATGCCTCAGAAACCCTAAACAGCAGCATACCCATGCTCCCTGTATTTTCTTGTTCTACGTCCTTGCTTACAAATGCAAATGACATTTCTAGTCTACTTAAGTTCTTACACCACTCTCAGCCCTGCAGTAATTGAGGGTGTTACTGTACCACAGCAATTGGTCATTTGTTTCCTCAAGGAGGGAAGCACAAAGGTATCAATCCACTGTTTTAATGCAAGTTTTCTGTTCTTACAAATCTTGGCTTTAATATTAAGAACTTTTCATTGACACCTTCAGAACAGTGTATACTCCCTGCAAACTTACATCTGGTCACAAAGCCCATCCGAGTTCTATGGGCCTCTAAATATATTTGGTTATATTTGGTTATAGCTGCATGAAATTATTACAGATGAGCTACACCCCAGCTTGTCTCTCCCCTCTAAAATCACAATCACTGACAACAAAGTTCACAATACTGTATAACAATATGCTCCAGAAAAAAAACTTTCAATGTGAATGTGACATGCAAATATTAAGACAGGACACCAGACTTCTTTTTTTTTCCCTTCCCAATGGGTGTTTTATTTTATAGCATTTGCATTAGGTAATCAACTGAAACACTTAAACAACAGAAAGCTGGCAGCACAGTGAGGAAGAATGGAGATCATTTCTCAAACAGCCGTGACAAAATTGTTTCAAGTTGGAATAGTATTGCACAAATGAATCAATTTACTGAGGGTGAGTGGGAGCAAGCATCTTCAACATGGATTGTGAGGAAAAAAGGCACTATTTAGCTGTGTGTGTGTTTAAAAAGAAAAAGGTCATGAAGCACAATCCATGTTTTTCAAAATTACATTCAGTACTGCTTTAGAAATGCTCACAAACCTGTCTCTTTTGCAGAAGCTATGGAAAGCTGCTGATGTAAGTATCAGACAGTACAAGTGTACAAACATTTATAATTATGCTCCAGAAAAGTCTCAGGAAGAGAGGCTCTTTCTATAAATACTGCTGCAAAGGTTACACAGTTGCATAGGCTTACAGTAAAGGAAGCATCCATCCAACTAAGCAGCCTTAAACTTTAAGTTTAATCTCTAGTAGTCATAAAATACGCTCTAATTTTGAAGAGCTAGATTGGCAGTGCATTTGAATCAGGCTTTTTTTCCATTGTCTGCTTAAGCAGCACAGTTCAGACAGTATCATCCACACACTTTTTTGTCACATACGCCTTTAGCAACACCAGGTAAAGCTTAATGGAAACTTTTAACAGAAGTGTGAAAGAAAATAACTGAATTTTTCCCAATATAAGATAGAATTACTCTGAGAACATCAAAAAGAAGAAGTTTATTCCTGTAATGTAAAAATAGCTAGGTATCTTCAGAAAAACTAAATACCAAAAAAAGGCATTTCAAATGACCAGGATGGCTGGTTCTCCATCTCCTACATTGTATAGCTATAAATTTTAATGTGTGTTTGAAAATGAAGCCATGATCAGCATACCAATAAAAGAGAGACTGCTAGAAAATCCATCCAGAACAAGCAGTAATGTGCACAGAGGACATTCTGCACCCTAGCCTTGGGTCTTTTTATAGATGCACTAACAAAATAGAAGTGAAATTCTTGTTGCATGGCTGCAGAATTATTAAGGGAAGGAGCTAAAACCGTTGTTGCTCTCCCACCAGCACTGCCCAGAGTATCACAAGTGCCCCAGGCATGCTGTGGGTACGGCTGTGTACTCACCAGCGCAGCAGGACCTCATGCCTCGTGCTGACATCAAGAGTTTCAACAGGGCTAGAGGCTTGCACAAAATCTGGGAGGTACTTTTGTACAGAAAGTACAGAACAGTGTAACAAATCTACTCTCAACTATATGTAGATATATGAGCATTTCAGCACCTTTCAAATGAACTTAGCCCTGCAAAAAGCCAATCTCATTCCTCTAAGAGGGTACAGTGACTTCAGTTAAAAGATCTGTGTTCAGGAGGCTGCATAGTAGTTTACTGATCATACAACCTGCAAAAACAAAAATTCACAGATTGCTGCTTTCCTCTCTAAGTCATTAAGGGAAAATACATTAGATAAATCATTTTTATATACCGTAAAATATTTTTAATGGCAACAAGTCGGATTGTTTCTATTTCCAAACAGAAGATGAATAGAACAGATTATTAAAAATCTGTAAAGCTCTTTTCCTAAACTGTCTTTTAGGAAATCCAGATCGTTCTAAATTCAAATTATTCCAAGTTCACAGTTGTCTTTAATGGTTGCACTACATATAAAAGTAGACAGTCTTGGTTCTTCCTGTGTTCTACAGATGATCACATTTTGTGAGTACATCTGGAATGAGTACTGCTCCAATTGTTACTAACATTTCTAAAAAATATTCCTAAAATTCTTGTCTCAACCTTGACAGTTCACAGCAAAGAAGAGGAAGTGATATCTGATTAAATAAAATGTGTTATCTTACATGAACTATGAAAAATATATTGCTCTTTTGAAAGTAAAAAAAATTGCATTGTTCTATTGGTTTTGTTATTGGAGACTCGTAATTAAGAAAATCTAAATCCTGGAAAAAAAGAAAAGTAACTTTCAAAACTGCTTACAGAATAAAGAAGCTTCTGTAGACCCTACTGAAATCAGTAGAAGTTTTGTCTATTGTTTTCTTGTCAATAGAGAAGCATTTGTCTACATACCTATATCATTACGTAGATGACTATTTTGCATTTTCACTTAGCAAGCTCTTCAGCTCTCTTAGAGGTGCTCTGCTGAAAATTCTGAAGGAGATTCAAGAAGGTAAACTAATCTGAATTATTCTGAAGGAGAACAACATAGTAAAAAAATTCTACTATAAAACTATCACTGAGTGGAAATCTTTCCTGGGATTATAAATATTTACTTTTTTTTAAAAAAAAGTGACTGCTTTTAAATGAAAACTTTTAGATCTCCATTAACTACTTTTTGTGTTTGACTCCTCAGTTCCTTTCATGAGCTAGGAAACATGTCTTCATGTGTGACCTAACACATCCTATATCCAAACATGTTGGCATTATTATTGATGGCAACAGACAAGAACTAGAACAGGAAGGCTTATGCATGGTTCATGCTATATAAATGGTAACTTATGAGAGGGAACTTCCCTGATTATTTGGGAAGAACAAAGAGAGATCTATTTTTAAAATCAGAAGGGAAAAATCTAAGAAAACAAAGAAACTGCAAGATGTACTTGATAGTCTCCTGTTATCCTCTCTGTAATTGGGCTGTTGCTTTTGGCTGCAGACATCCAGTTCACAGACCATTTTCCATTTCCTTTGTTTTCATTACAAGAACAAGCTGGTTAAAGAAACTCCACTCAGTAATTTTAAACTAAACCTTCAGCATCATACTGTAGGAATTTAAACATTTCCCACCATTCCCTTCTTTATCTCCTAAGCGCCTTCCCAATCAAATCCTGTGAAAAGCACTTTTAAGAAAAGGCAGGTGGAAGTTGTGTAAATATTCATATCTTTAAGAAAATTCAATATGAAAACTTCTTGCAGTGCTCCACGGCCATTTGCTATAATGCAGTGGCCTCAAACATCTGTTCTCAAATTTCAGTTTACTTCATCTGCCAGGTGTTTCACATTGTTAATAATGGTAACTCACAAATTTACAACAGTCACATAAGGCAGTTACATAAATACAATTATGTCAATCAAGTTCACTGCATCTTTCCCAACTAGACCGCCTATGACATTTTTCTTCTTGCTCTCTTATCCTAATAAATGGATGAAGACTACATTTCTGTAAAGAGAATCCCTGGAAAATATTCTGGTATTGAAGTCAGAGAGGTCACTGAAGTGCGTTTCAGCAATGTCCAACAGTTAACTCAACCAGGAAGTAGATGTGATGTTTTTCACTTCACATATAACAGAATCGGTGCAAAAAACCCCACTTTAAACTAGTTACGTTAAACCTTTTGGTCCAAATACATAAAATAAGCAGTATTTACAGCATTTTACTCCTTTTGTAAATGCAATGCTTTAAAACACGTTATAAAGCACCTCAGTAAAAATATTCTACAGATAAAAGTATTGAAGTAGTAGGAAAACCCTAGCCATACCACAGCTCACTAATAGAGTCATAATATGGATTCACCAATACCTCAGTTTACAATTATTACAAAGAATCCATGGAGAAACTTACTGAATTTACAATTTTTATACCACTGTGTAAGGATCAACTAGAACTGCAGACAATACCAAATTTCTTTGTAGTTTTCCCAACCTCAGTTGGTGGTGGTGGTGATTAAAAACAAAACAAAACAAAAACCCCAAAACCCCACTGTTCTGATTCTTTAGCTTTTTACAATATTAATATGAAAATGACATTTTAACACTGAGTAGTTGTAATTTTTTAATAAAACCACATATATAAATATGGGCAATTCCAGCAGCAGCAGCATTTCTCAGCAGAACATGATTAACCATCTCAATTAATATCATGTGACATGATTCTCAAAAACAAAGCACAGATGTCAACCAGTTATTAGGACTACTCATACTGTATACAACCAAAATTTCCATGTCGAAAGCTGGGGAAAATGATTTCCTCTTCACAGAAGTATAAATGAAAATAAATTGCTCTGAAAATTAAAAAGAGCATCAACAGAAGTGGTTTTTTTATTGTTTATATTTTCAAATAGAACTGCCATGTATTAATTGCTCCGAATTACAGTGTAGATTTCTTCTTTAAGGATATTGACTCCCACTGAAAGTATTAGTTAGATAAAAGAAATGAAGCCTTTGCTTCTGGATTACCAACACAGCTATATCCAAAGCCCTGGAGGTGATCCACAACCCACTTTTCTTGTGTAAAGAAATGTCTTGGAGGTCTACAAGCAATCTAGTTTCCATGGCTGAGGACTAAGATGATGATGTGACCAAAGATTTAGGTCCATAAATCTAACAGTATAGCATTCTTAGTTTGATTTAGGGTAAATCTTTTCATAGAAAAAGTTTTGAGCCAGAATATACAATTCTCCATCTTTTTCCCGAACTGCATGTGCTCTGACAAACTGAAATTGCTCCAGTGCAAATTCATAGAACTCATTCTCCATTTTCCAGATTTCAGACTGCTGTAGCTTGGCAATAGTTTCTTTTGTGGGAAGTTTTTTCTCAGTTGTTTTCCTAAGATGCGACTTCTTTCCTAAATGCAAAATAAAGCAATAACTTCACTTTCAAGTTCACATGCTCAAAAAATGTTTACAGTCCTTTGTAATTTACAGAGTTTTTAGATTCTCAGTGTGTTGATGAACTGCATCAGAAGGAGCAGGCTTTAATCCAGAATTTATTAACACAACATGTAGAGTTGGAAAACTGCAGCCCATCTCACTAAATGTTTATGAATCTTGCATCCATTCTTTCAATTCCTCCTGTTTGCTCTAATAAACTCAGGAAATGAACATTCATTTAAGGAATAAGATTACTCCATATAACCTACCTGGAGCAAAACTAGTGTTTCAAAATTAATTATTTAGATGTTAATCTGGTATCAATTGTTAAGAATTTTAGGGACTGCAGGAGAGACTTCTTTCATAGAACCATCAAAACATTAAAATGTTTTGATGTTTCATGGAAAAAATGTTTAGAGTCATTGAGTCCAACCACAAACCTAACACGGCCAAGTCCCAGTCAGCCATGTCCCTGAATGCCACACCTACACATCTTTTAAATATCTCCACCACTTCTTTACATCTTTTAAATACCTCCAGGGAAGGTTATATTCAGCTAAGACTATGAAAACCCCCCACTGTTCTGGTGTAGCTCTCTGTAGCTCTCCATAAAAGAGAAAGAAAGTCTTGTTTTCATGTGATTTCAATTGTCTATTTCTAATCAAAATATAATCTCTACTAATAGCATTTAAACCATTATTCTCCCATCTAAATAGGATACTGTAGTCTTATCATAAATTATACATATGCCAGATCCCTGTTGCACAGAGTTTCTGAGACAAAGATGACCAAAATGATGACCAAATTTTCCCCAAGGAGTGCTGCTGCTTTGTAATTAACTTGTTAATACTACATATCTAGGCTCTGTACAACACATCCTCTTCTCCCTCTATTTGCAGATAGAAGTCCTGCTAAGATAGATCTTTTCTTCATCATAAATTGCATGGCCAGCTCCTAGAAACGGAGCTACTTGTAGCTAGGATTGCAGGAAGATAAACATCTACTTGGGTCTCTGCATCCCTCAGGCTTTATTGCTCAGCCAACCAGGCTGCATTGAGCACAGTTAATTCCAGCAGGGCTTCTGAGGAAATGGAAATCTGCCACATCAGCCACTTTATGAACCTGAAGCCACTGCAAAACCTTTAAAAAATATTCTGTTACAAACACATCACAATGTAACATGCAGTATACATACACACCTGCATTTACCCCAGCCTTAAATATTGACAATTTGTGTAAGGCAGCAAGATACTTGGACTAGCACTGCCTCGGAGAGAGGAGAGAAGAGAGAGACGGAGAGAGACGGAGAGCGAAGGAGAGCGAGAAGGAGAGCGAGAAGGAGAGCGAGAAGGAGAGAAAGAGAGAAAGAAAGAAAGAAAGAAAGAAAGAAAGAAAGAAAGAAAGAAAGAAAGAAAGAAAGAGAGAAAGAAAGAGAGAAAGAGAGAGAGAAAGAGAGAGAAAGAAAGAGAGAAAGAAAGAGAGAAAGAAAGAGAAAGAAAGAGAGAAAGAAAGAGAGAAAGAAAGAGAGAAAGAAAGAGAGAAAGAGAGAGAGAAAGAGAGAGAGAAAGAGAGAAAGAAAGAGAGAAAGAAAGAGAGAAAGAAAGAGAGAAAGAAAGAGAGAAGAAGAAAGAGAGAAAGAAAGAGAAAGAAAGAAAGAGAGAAAGAAAGAGAGAAGGAGAGAAAGAAAGAGAGAAAGAGAGAAAGAAAGAGAGAAAGAGAGAAAGAGAGAGAGAACTGAGAATTTTCAAAAAAAGGGTTTTTCTTTTCTGTAGGAGCATGATCCAGCTGAGAGACAAATCTGGCAGAGACTCAAAACTATTCATCTAGATCTAAAGAATTCACACTTAAAAAGGTAGTAAGTAGATGAAAAGATCCATGGAAATCAACTATTTAAATACCTGTCCGGTATAGTTCTGTGGCACCCCTGAAGAACCGGGGCAAAGCTGCCTCCAATAACATGATAAAGTCTTCAAGCTCTTCAGTAACTCCCACAAGGAAGTATTCATTAATCAGATTGTATTTGGCTTGTTCCAAAGCCCATCTGCTTCCCACATTCCTAAAATGACAGAGAACAATTATAGCAAATTCTGATGTCAGCCAACAATCCTTGGTCCCTAGATAGGGATTACTTCACAACAGGACATTTGTGTAGGAAAGGCAAGACTTACTCCAAGTTATAACCATCCTAACTTCATGTCCCTTTCCAGTTTCTCTCATCTGTGTTCTTACCTAAAAATGTGAGTCCTCTACTTATAAAAGAGTCTCAACAAAAATATGTGGCGTGTGTGTGTGTATGCTTAATGCCTCTATTCAAGCAAATTTTTCAAGGATTTACACTGTGTCTGTATTAATACCCTGTCTCCACTTTCACATTAGATACCAGAAATCTGGCAAGAACACACCTTCCCTTTTGCACCTTTCTCTGCTTCTCCACATGGCCAGAGAGTAGATAGGTCTGAATAACAGGCACTGACAGAGAAGCTCCCAAGTGGCCATTTACTTTGCTTGTGTTTGAATGAACAGTACCTTTGACAAATAATTGCCCTTGATATCACTCAGAATCTTTCAAATAATCTATGGGGTTTTTTTGGGTTTTTTGCTAAAGAGCTTTTTAAAGCCTTTGCCATTATTATACAATATGTTGTATTGATAGATGAACACCATTTGATTTTGTTTCAGTTTCTGCTAAGTAGCATTGACTACTGGATATCTGGTAAAGGTTTAAAAAGATGAATTTATCCTTATCTCAATTATTGTGTACTCCCCAGGAACTTTAGGAGCTTGAACTAAAGTATCTCCATTCCTAAAGGATACTGTAGTCTGACATAAGAGAAAAATGTCAAGACTCTACATCTGCAAAAATGATTTTTAAAACTGAAAACATATGTTTTCCCTCATAGCATTAGTGATACAGTATTTTAACATACTGCTAGTTTAAAGAACTGCAAAACTCTTTCAGCAAATCCATTTTCAACACTAAACACATTACTCAAGTATCCACTGCTTCACTCTGCCTCACACTTTTATCAAATGGACAACATACTGAAATTTGTTAAAGTTTAGATTTCAGCACTGATGTACTTGACAAACAAGCTACATTTATTTCCCTACCAGCATTCTGAGCTGTGGCCACAGAAGAATGGAATTTGAAGCCAAAGTTTCTCTGGAGCACAGTCGGAACCTCCAGCTGCCACACATTCATCAAAGGTCTGCAACAAAGACGAAACTGAGCTGAGCTTTAAAATCTCATACATGTATCAAACATCTCAAACTGGTTAGTTGCTAAACGTGGTGGGGACAGAAAAACACATATATGATGTTCTAGAAAAAAAGTAAATTCAAGCCTTGCATTCACAGTGTTATTAGGATGATCTATTGTCTCAACTAAACAGGACTTGGACAGTCTTTTATGGTTACAACTAATGAACAATTGATCTTACCTGATACATTGATACCTTTGATATAACTTTAGCAAAGGCTATTTGTCAAAACTAGCAAAAATAGTCAATAAGTGTTAGCATAATTGTTTTCCCCTATAAAAGAAGTCACTAAAGATACAGCATCAAATGCCATCTGGAATTGTGTAATCCTGCAACAGCTGGATGTTTATAACACAGAACATTGTGCATGTTTTAGATTAAACAAGGTTCTATTACATTTTAATTATGACAAATAACTTCCATTTCAGAGACTAATTTTGTTTTGGCAATCAGAAG